CTAAATCCTTTCCCTTAGCTTTCTTGTTAAAGGTGGATTTAAAGAAAAGGAGTTCATTATCTTGGACATTTTTGAGTCATTATGAATTTCATCCCTCTCCTCATTAATTACTCATTACCCCTCAGCTCTGGAGGGCTGCTTTGTCCCTGATGTGTTTGTGAGCAGCTTCCCTGGCACCCTGTAATCCCCCCGGCCCTGCGTTAGCTCGGTCTGGTTTACACTGCCCTCGCTGTCCTCTCTGCTGTCTGCTCAGCTTCTCCCAGTCTCCTCTGTTCCCAAACAAGCTCTTGCCTTTTCACTGCACCCCAGAACTGTCTCCTGCTGAGCCCTCTGGCCCTGGGTCCCTCAGTGGGTTGAACCCCTTGTGCATCTTGCCTGCCCCGAGCGACAGGCAACCATTCCCACTGGCCTTGTGCCATGCAGCAAGAGGAGTAACTGGCTCCTGGTTAACAGGTTAGCACTGGAGTTTGGATATAAATAGCCATTTTTTGGAAAGCAATAGCTTTGCTGGGCCTGTTTTGGTACGTGCCAAGTTATGACAAAGTGGCATGGAGAGCGGAGTAATGTTGTGTAAGGGCTTTGGGATTAACAGGCCAGTATTTCCCAAGCCTTTGGCTGCAGTTAGATCCCCAGGGAGAACCTGAAACATATAAGCATGTCCTGTGCTGCAGTGGCCCAGGGGGGAACAACAGAAGCAGTGGTGTCATCATCCTCCCATTGTCCTGGCAGAGGAAAGTTGTGCACAGTTGGGCACTCAGATACTGACCCTGCTACTGAAACAACCTTCTTCAGCCCATGTCACATGCACATATTGGCTATAATCCCGTGTTACCCACAGATGGATCCATGACTGGAGATCACAATGAGTGATGGCCTTTCTCTAGACCTAAACAAGCACACAGACATCCAATCTCTGCTGGCAAGAGACCCCCTCCATCCCAGCCTCATGCTCAGGTTGACTTCCATGCCCCTGCTGCCCCAGCAGCTTCCCTAAAGCTTTGCAGGACTTTTTTTACCATCGCAGCAGGGGATGGCAACTTACTGTCTGCCTTCTCCTCCACGAGGTCAGTGCTAATGCATTTCTGTGCTGAGCCTCCTCCCAGCAGGCTCCTGCCAGGGCTGGGGTGTGGTCACTGAGGATGGCCCTTCCCATGCTTCATGGAAGCCTATGAAAAGGCAAAGCAGGAAAAATGCGTTGCGTTGGTAAAGGGAAGAGAGCGGTGTGTGATATTTGTTTGGGGAGGGTAAACGAGGGTTGCGCAAGCAAGCAGTTGGGTTGCACAATCAGAAGCAGTGGAATTATTTAACTTAAGTTCCAATGATCAACTGAGCTGCACTTTCTCAGGAGGTTTTACCCAAAACATCTTACTCTTTAATTGGGGCAAACTGGGAAAAGGCACCTGGTCCAGGAGTGCAACTCTGCTGACGTGCCCTGAGCTGTGCCTTGGCTCATCCTTCAGTGGGAGGGAAGGGGGTCACAAAATCATTTGAGGGGGATTGAAGTGGTGTGTTGTGAAGAAATCAGCAGCAGCTCAAACTCTTCAGGACAGAGAAATAAATTGAGAACAGGCTGCAAGTGCTTCGAACAAACCTTCAGACTTGCTAGGAATCTGCTAACTACCTTTAATGGCTGGCAGCAGCTCCAGTCCACTGTAGGGGTGAGCCCAAAACCCTCTGAGCCAAGGATTACAGCCATTCCTAATTCTTCATCTGCAAAGCAATCATGTGACAAAGTAGCTACAAGGAACAGATACTTTCAGGTGGCTCAATAAACAAGCACTCCCTTGTCAATGTGCTGCAGTCTCACCCTTAAAGAACACATCAAAATCCGTAGAATCATTTAGGTTGGAAAAGACCCCTAAGATCATAAAGTCCAACTGCTACCCCAGCACTGCCAAGTCCACCACAAAACTATGTCCATAAGTGACACATCTATGTATTTTAAATACCTCCAGTGTGACTCAGCCACTTCCTTGGGCAGCCTGTTCCAATGCTTGACAAGCCTTTCCATGAAAGTGTTTTTCCTAATATCTTATGTAAACTTCCCTTGGTGTAACCTAAGGCCCTTGTCCCATCACTTGTTACTTGGGAGGAGAGAACGCTTCAATACAACCTCCTTTCAGCTGGTCGTAGAGAGCGATAAGGTCTCCCCTGAGCCTTTTTTTTCCAGACCGAATAGTCACAGCTCCCTCAGCCACTCCATGTAGTACTTATGTTCCAGAGTCTTCACCAGCTCCATTGCCCATCTCTGGACACACTCCAGCACCTCAATGTCCTTCCTGGGGGCAGAGGCCCAAAACACAGGATTCAAGGTGTAGCCTCACCGATGCCTGGTACAGGGGAACAATCAGTGCCCTGGTCCTGCTGGTCACACTATTGCTGATACAAGCCACGATGACATTGGCCTTCTTGGCCACCTGAGCACACTGGTGGCTCAGCTGGATGTTTACCAGCACTCCCAGGTCCTTTTCTGCTCTGCAGCTTTCCAGCCTGCTCTCAGCCTGTAGTGCTGCCTCCTCTGGCTGTTGTTTATTGTTTTGTACAGCAGTAGCCAGATTAAGTTCTATCTGGGGTTTGGCCCCACAAATTTTCTCCCTGCATAACCTTACAACATCTCTGTAGTTCTCCTGAGTTGCTGCTCCTTTTTCCAAAGGTCACAAACTCTCCTCTTTTTCCTGAGCTCCAGCCCAAAGCTCTGTCCAGCCAAGTCAGTCTTCTTCCCCACTGGCTCCTCTTTCGGCACACAGGGACAGCCTATTCCTGCGCCTGTAAGATTTCCTTCTCGAAGCATGTCCAGCCCTCCTGGACTCCTTTACCCCTCAGAACTGCCTCCCAAAGGACTCTGTCAGGCAGTCTCCTGAACAGATCAAAATCTGCCCTCTGGAAGACCAAGGCAGCCATTCTGCTGACTCCCCTCCTTACTTCTCTGAGACTCCATTATTCCATGATTGCTGTGCCCAAGACAACCATCACATCACCCCCAAGTTCCCCATCACAGGAGCCAGGAGACTGAGAACATTATTTTCTTCTGCTCCTGTATTTCAATTGCATTCCCCAAAACTTTTGCCTTCTGCCATGCTCCTCCCTGCAGCAAAGTGCAGTGGCCTGTGCTGGCACTCCCAAATGTGCAAGTCTTGGTACCAAGGCCCATATTTGTGTATTTTCCAAGGAGATCAACAGGTGGTCGGATCTGGACAGTGAGTGCCTGGAGGCATGAGCCATTGCTGGGAGAAGAAAACTTCTCCAAGGGAGCTCTGTGCATCTGGCAATGGTTGGCAATAAGCCAACCACAGCTCCATCCTGGCCTTATGCCATATAACCTGAGCAACAGCACAAGGACCTGGTAAAATCCAGTTGCAGGGTATGGAGAGTTGTGCTCCAGAAGTGAGGAAGGCGAGTGCCCAGCCTCCTCTGATCCAACCCATGCTGCCTGGTGCTCCTGAGGGCAGGGAGACCTCCACCCATGCAGACAGGCTTCTGCATGAGTCTTGCACAAACTGCCAGAATTACCTACTTCTGCATCTGTGGGATGTCCCTCTCCTCAGCTCCTGCAAACGGTTTGGAAAGGACTGACCATTTTAAGCACGTGTCAGTGAAATCCAGCTCCCCAGCTTAGGTTGTCTAACACAACATTTGCTATGCCTCAGACTTCAGCGTTTTTCCAAACCCCTCAGGACTGTAAGGCTAATTTAGGCCAGCTTCTGGAGTTTTACAAGGCCCAGATGAGGTACTACACTGTTCATTCTCTCTTCCCATTCTTATAACCCCAGGTACCTGGCACTGCTTGAGAAAACACATGGAATGTGCTCTGGGAAGAAGCCAGGGTCACTGGGCAAGGCTGAACCCTCCCTCCTAATGCTTTGGCACACAGCAGAGTCAAAAAACACACTGTCACCACAGGGGCAAAATGGTCCATTGGCAGCAGGGAGAGCCATCACTGCTCCTCACTCCCAGTCCAGCCCCTGAATCTCAATGCAGCAGGGTCCCTGGGCTGGCATGGTGACTGGGTGACAGCCAGGAGTGCCAGGGCAAAGGCACCATCAGTGGGGGTTGCTGATGTTGTGATGGGTCTGAGCTAAACAAGACTATTGCTTGTCTGAAACAACCCCAAAACATTTTCAAACTTGCTCTAGCCCAGTAATAAGCTAGAGAGTAAAAAAGACAGATCAAATAACCTTCCTGCAGAGGGTGAGAGGACAGTTTAACTAGCAGTGCCTTATCCAGCATGGCCAGATCCACTGTGTCCTGCTGGTGCTTATGCACTATGACACTTGCATGTATTTCTCTGCCTAGGAATAGTCACAACAAAAGCCTCCCATACAAAATCTGAATCTCCCATGCTCTCCTGGCTTCCTTGCACCCACTACAAGGTATTTGAGGACCTTTTACTTTGATCAGATCATCAAGGTAAAAGTCATACCTCCGGGGTCTGATTTCATTAGTGTAGAGCACAGCTTCACTACGGGTTTTTAAGTTGTGATGAGTTGTTATTCCCCCAGGGCAACACACAAGTGCTTGAGCGCTCAGTTTCCTCAGACAATTCAAACTCAAGTTCTTCTCCATTTATTTGGTACCAGGCACAGAGACCTGTGCAGTTCCCAGCACCCCTTCACTTCCCTAAACACTTCATCACCCAAATTTCCACTGCCATATATTTTAAAACCTCTGCTGTTCTCTTCATAAGCCTCAGAACACAGGCATCTTTTGAAGCCCTTACTCCTTGAGTTCCACACCTTTGCACAACCATCAGCCCTCAAACAGTAAATGGCTTTCCAGTTTGCAATGTCACAAGTATCCCCTAAAATCATGACTTCCCAAGACTAGCATCCAAAAATTGACTGCCTGCCAGTCGCACTGGCACTCATAGACTGGTGCCCGTAGGAAACAGCCAGCCCACCACATGCCCTCTAATACATGAAAACACAGGCTGGAGTGAGGAGCTGTGATGGATAATGAATCTACTTTAATATTTCTCCCCCAAGAAGACACCCAACTTCCACTTATTCTAGGGCAAACTCAAAAGGTTTTATTTTAATTTTTTTTTTTTAGCAAATTCTATCACGTAAATGTTAACAAAAAACATCTGTACAATTGCCATGATACACTCAAAAGTGAAACAAATAAGATATAAATACAGATATGGATGTAACATGACAAAAGCGGAAAAAATAGAAAAAAATACATGCGCATGAACACGGTGCCAACAAAGTCATTTCTCATGGCTGGCATTTTTCAGAGCGTTTTTTACTTCCCATTTAAAACATTGTTAGCAACGTCCTGTGTATACTACAAAGGTCTAGTTTTCTGTCCCTTAATATGTAATATTATGCTTGATAAATAAAGGGGTGGGGAGAAAAGGTTTTGATGACAAAGATGCAAGTTACATTACTTATACAGGTTATTGGTAAGCTAGTAATAAGCATTAAAAAGACAGTCTTGTATTGTATTGTAATCCAGGCAAGCACACATAGTGTACCTTAAGAAAGCCACATGCCTCGATATTTCTGAACTACATGAGAACTACAGTACGTAGACCTGTGGGGCGGATGGAGCCTGTATTTGCCCATGCCCACGGAGCACTGGTGCAGCCAATGGCAGAAAAAACATCCACATCTGAGATTTCGGCAACCTTGCAGCCAAGAGCTGCTGTCTGCTGAGAGTTTTCTCCCATTCAGATTTTTAAAGCATGGTGGGCAAAGAAAATACACTTTTTTCCTTTTTTTTCTAACCTCTTTTTTTTTTTCCTCTTTTTTTTTTTTTTTTTTAAAGGTTACGAAAAATTGAAGCCCTGCATAATGGGCAGCAAGAAAAAAAAAAAGGCAGCTGCAGTAGGTGGCTACTGCCAGGAGAACGTGAACACAAGCTTCACCGGTGCGGTGAGACACTGCAGCATGCAGACCTTCCTCTGCAAGCCTGCGTGGACACTGTGATTTGTAGCCAGAGAGACCTTTATGCTTGCTGAAGAGAAAACAAAATGATTGTACAGCTTGTTGAAGTCAAAACTGGAGATCAGAGAGGTGACATTCAGAGCTAGCCCTTTGAGTACTTCAAAGGAAACACAAAATAAAAATTGGGTCATGTTCAACATACTAAACAACTTTACTATGTACATTATACGCAATGATTTATAAATACCTAAAGCAGAATGCTCCCTACTGTATACAGGTATAACACACTTCTAGAGTACTCAAAGGATGAACAGTCCTCGACTGACTCACAAAACGAAATTAAGTAGCACATTAATGAGCATCTGTTGACAAACAGAACTGAATTTGATTCAGAAAGTAAGGCCTGATTCTACCATGTGCAGCCCCAGGGGTGCCAATGACATCGGAGAGCGCAGGCTGGTCGCTGCCTGCAGCAGGTCACACACCTTTGCAAGGACGAGCTGTCAACTCCGACTGAGGTGTCATGTCAGGGACGTTACAGTGCATTCACTCTCAGTGCATACTAACAGGATTTTATAAAATATATAAAATCATTTGAAAAGGAATTCAATTCCTGGAGATTTGCTACAGTGTGCCATTCAAAGAAAAAAAAAAACACCAAACCAACAAACAGCAAACAATGATGGACCAAGCTCCATCACAGCTGGGAGGGACTAACACCACCTGGTCAACTGTGCTGACCTTCTGAACCCCAGAACTGGAACAGAAGATGCTGAACTGAGATGGGGAGAAAGAAAGGCATAAATACTAAGCAGTTAGAAGTACAAATTAAAAAAAAAACAAAAACACCCCCAAAAAGCCTAACCCACTACTAAAAATTCAAACAAGACAGCTAACTGCTGCCAACAAGTCAGCTGAATATTTCCTCAAAAGGAAAAATAAATTTGTGTTAAAATAAAATTTGAATAATTCAAAAAAATTTTAAAAAGAGCATTCTGACAAGCATATTGAAAGATGTTGAAAAGAAATGGTCCACAGAAAGGGAGACACAAACTATGGAGCAGCCAATCCTTCCTTTACTGAGGATGGCTTTTCTGAGCCTGCAGAATCCCACACACCAGGACTGCACACAGTTTCTCCTGCCATAGTATTAGTTGTTGGGAAAGATGAGGGAACTAGCCCTGCAGCCAGAAAAGGCCTGGACATGTATAAATCAGGAGGTGGTCACCTTCTCTGCTCTCATGTGAGCAGCAAAAGGGACCAACAAGCTTTGCAGCCCAATACCACATAGTCCTCACCAGCCCAATCCCTCCTGAGATGAGTACTGGGAGAGGAGCTGGCACCAAGCATCAGCTCCCAGCATAGCTCCTCAGGGATGGGGCTGAGACACAGAGGGATGAACTGATGGAAGGGGCTTTACCCTTCCCTGCTGCAGTAATGGAAAGTCTCATGTTCTCAGTATGTTCCCAAGGTGTCCCTTCAGCTCCCCAAAGTGGAAATGGAGGAAGCTGGAGAAACTCCAAGGCACTGACAGCAGCCAGGGAACATACATCCATCACCACAGCTGCAGCCGTAAGCTGCATGTCCACCATCCTCTTGCATCACTGGCACTGGGGACAAAACCCAGTTGTGATCTGCTGCAGGTTTGGAGTGGGCATGCCCATCAGCCAGGATCCAGGCCAGGGCCAAACACAGCACTAATCAGCAACATCGTACTTTCCCTGGTTACAGGCAGAGCCAGGGGGAGCTCCCCCTTTGCAAACAGAAGGGTCTTTATTTGGGAAAGGGTGGTGCTGAATGTTATTTGACTGCTGCTGGTTTGCCTCTGATGTGGTCTGTGTCATCAGGCTGCAAAAGGATTTGCCCTGCTACACCCTCACCCAGAGCACCCTGCTGACAGCAGTGCCCAGCAAGGGCCCTCTGCACTGCTCTGAAATGCAGAGCACCCTGCAGGCCTATGTGTCAGGATGGCCAGGAAGGAGGAGGCTTCTAAGGGTAGTTAACAGCACTGCAGGGTCTTCAGGCACAGGAAGAGCTGTGGCAGGCAACCAGCACTGTCCCAGCTGGTTCAGAGGTGCTTCCATGTGGTATTTCTGCTCAGATTCAGACACCCTTTCTGTCCTCTGGGATGAACATTTTGCCCAAAGCACAAAGGAGCTGTGGGGACAAAGCCACTCACCACCCAGCACCAGTGGGTCAGTCAGAGCAGCAGATCAGCCCTTTGATGCTACAGACTTCAAGAAAAACATCTGGCACTGAGGTACAGCTCTGCCAGCTCCCACCGTCCACCCATGAAGACCCACAGAGCCTAACCCAATCCCCACCCACCTAACTCCACCATCCTATTCGCAGACATCAGTCCCAGAACTGGGTCTCAGGTTCCCTTTGGGGAGTAAGAAGTAACCTGGAGAGTCTTTTAAGCATATGAAAGAGCCAAATGGGTTGAGAGGGGAGAAATATTTACACAGTCAATGAAAGGAGCAAAATCCCAGCTGTTACGCACAGCACAGCTGGCTGGAGAGAGATCAGCCCATCCAGGGTCTGTCAGAACTATGTACAAAAACTCAGGTGTTTATAAAGAACCTACTTTTTCATTACTCACTTGGTATCTCTCAGTATTAAAGCATCTGAGGCTGAAATCACAGCCACATCTGCAAAGATCTCCCCGTGAAGAGCCCTGCAAGTCAGGCAAGCTACAACAGGGAGCACAAAACAGGAACACAAGACTTGTAAGAAGAGGAGAACCTAGCCAGAATGGCTGTGGGGAGAGAGCAGGTAACTAGCACACAGAAACCAAAACGGGATAAACTAAACCAACAAGATTTGTTTGACTTTTACATGTGTCCAGGTTCTTGGACTCAGTGTTGGAACGCTAACTTAAACATACTTCTGAGATTTCAGCAGGCTATACCAATATGTTTAAGTATGGCTTCCTGTTGTTCACTTTTAATGAAGACTGCAACACAGACCTTGCTTCCTTTACATTCAATACCAGTAAGATTCTACATAAAAGCTCTTAAGGGACTAAAATACTGATTGCAATAAATATCTGCATGGCCTCCTTAAGCGGATGGAGCGTGCCAGTGAAGAGTAGCAGAAAGGTCTCTGAGAGGCACCGTTGATTGCTTCTAAGTCTACACATATGTCCACATATCTCCATTAACTGTGCGTTGAAACATCTGAAGAGGAACTGCTGTTGCTGTTGGTGGTCTGGGCCCTCTTTATATACAAGTTTAGTAGCTTCATCTGAAAGAAACAAACAAACATCAGGAGAAAATGCCAGGAAAAACAGGTGGGTACAAACTGACTGCAAATCTAAAAACTCGCATTCTGTGGTGAGCTCAGTTTTGAGTGAGTTGACACTGGGCACTCTGGAGGAAAAACAGAAGCAAAACCGACCATATTTCAGAACAGAGGCAGGAGGGTATGCCCAGTCCAACTGAAGTTACAGACACATTTAATGGGATTTAGAAAAACCTCTTGCATTTCACTTCAGCAGCCAGCAAGCAGTTCACAGACTCAATCCTGCAGCCTGATTAGGTCAAGCAGGATTCCCACAGAAGTCAGTAGGATTGCAGGCACACTGGTGATCCAAGAGCCATAGGTCCCTCCTAGGAAGCACCTTGAACTCTCTGTGCTTTATAAAATGTTCATTTTCAATGACATTGTATCTTCACTAACTTGGTACATCTAGTAAAACTGCAGTTATTATGGCTATATACTTCCTTTCCATGGGTTTGTTTTCTTTTTCTGCCTTGCCACCCTAACTCCAGATCCTGTAATGACTCATGCTCACATTTAACTTTAGACATGCAGGCAGTCTGCATAAACCCAGAAGAATTACTCACATGTTTATAGTTAGTTATGTGGTGGAGTAAGTCCATGGCACCAAGGATACTGGGATAATAAAGCCTCTACAACATTTTATAGGGGAATTTCCTAACAGCCCAAATGTAATGAGGCAAACCTCAGCACCCATAGCTGTCTCTTTCCAGAGCAATTTGGAGGCACAAGTAATTTGCTTAAGCACAAGACAACTCAACACAAAAATAAAATCCAAGTGTCTCAGTCTCAGGTTGTTTTGCCCTACATCACACTTCCTACCAATGAAAGAAATTATTGCTTCAAAATGACAGAACGAAGCCCTCTGATCTAAATAGCTATTCACATACAGAGATCTATTTCAGAAACAAAAAATACAGAATTCATCTTAAAATTGCATAGAAATCTTGTGTATGATGACTTCAGACAGGAGAAAAAAATTTTATGATGGCTTCTCAAGCAGCTCTGAAAAGCAAGCAAACACCACCCGCTTCAACACAAAAGGCCAGCTCTTGTCTGAAGGACAGAACTGAATTAAGGGCTTGGTTTCACTTGTAACATCAGATCAGAATCTGAATTTTGCAGCTAGCCTGACTCCAGGGCACAAAGTCCTTTGAAGGGTCACTTGAGCTTGCTGTTGTCCCAGAAGAAAAGGGACCCATGTGCAGTGCTATTAAGAGTGAAGCTTTACCTGCATGTCTACCAGCCCTAATCAAAATATGCTGCTGAGAGGGCCTGCTCTCCCACCATCCCTGCCATGCATTCCCATCACTCTCTGCACCAGGTTATCTGTGTAGCCACAAGGCAGACTGAAAGGTATTTAATTTGTATTGCAGATCTGGTTTTCAGCCAGAGCAGCAGCTGATCCAACACACTGCACAGTCGCCCCTGGATGCAACACCAAAGGGCAAGGCAAACATGGCTGGAGTGGGAAGGACCTGCTCAGTGGCAGCTTGCAGTTAAATCAAGGATCAAATGAAACCAATCTCTGAACCCCATCAAAATTTTCTTAGTGGGATTTCAAATGCTCACACTGCTGAAGTGTTGTGCTGCTCTAGCGGTATTTGTCAGGGTGAGATAAAATTTAACAAGAGTACAGGGAACTTGACCCAGAGCTGCAGTGAAACCACTTTTCTTGCAGCTAGTAATAGTCAGCAGAACAGCTTGCAGTATCAAAACATCAGACACATGTTACTCCTGTACCTTGCTTCCTGTGAGTTGTGCGAGATGAGGTTTCAGTTCTTCTCCAATTACTGAATAAATTGCCACTAGGCAAAACACGCTGGCTTTACGGACACTGCTCTCTGTGTTATCATAGCCCTAGGAAACAAGACAAAAGGGTCAGAAGACAAACAGCACTTCCCAACATCCTTCCTGAGCAATATACTACAGAGCTGATGTCCATTTTGTAAATGTGGTTGGCCTTTCTACTGACATATCAACAGAAAGGTCCTGCTTAACGTAACAGTTTGCTACCTGAATACTTGAAGAGCAAGAGAATGCAATCCCCCAGTACATTCTGTCTGCTCCTTCTGTTATTACTTACTGCTGTCCTAGGTTATTAATATCTTGTTATTTACAGCATTAAATAACAATTTAATGTTATTTAATGTTAAACACACAGTTTCCTAACATGAGCTTGGGAATCTGTCAGATATACACACTTCTGTGTTCAGTTCAGACAACCATGTGCTATCTTGGATGGCCAGGGCTTCTTGGAGAGGAACCTACCTATCAGGTAGGAAATACCACAGGAAAGAAAATGCTGAAAGACCCGTGCAAGTGTGCTGATCTCTGGCAGCTTGAGCAGAGCTTAGGCCAGCCACCAGGTCACTGAGCAGCTGGTGACATCAGTCCCAAACTTGGGCAAAGATTCATCACTCAGCAGCCATCCCATTCCATCCCATCCCATGAGAAACACAGACATCACTTTAGCCTATGGGATGCTGGCTCCTCTGGATGCTGGGTGATCTCTGCCAGGAAAGCCAGAGGAGGGATGCAGCATAGCTGGGCTGTTCTAGCTGCAGGGCCAAAGTACAGCCCAAAATGACAGTCTGAAATCCCACAAAGCACTGAGCTAGAAAAGCAGAAGACCTCAGTGAGCTCAGAGAAACACCAAGTTATTGAAGATTGAGGTAGAGAAAAGGCTGAAGCCAGGCCCACCTTCAGCCAGGATCCCAAAATACTTCCCAAATGTAAGGAGTAGAGTTCTTCGATCACTATGAGTTTCTAAGGTAAGGAAATATCACTGACAAACTAGGCTCTGAAACAAGAACCATTTAGAGACATGGAAGCAATTTAAGAAATCATAACAGCCTTTTTAAAGACATGCTGTTCCCAAACTTTTCCAGTGCAGCAAAGCTTCACTGTTCATGTTGTCTCCAACAATTATGGCTAAAACCATTTTACAACAAAAGTTTAGATCAATACAGAATTGTCCAATTCCCGGAAGCTGATAATTAAGAAAAGAATTGCAAGAGCTGACACTACAAAATTGGGATGAATACTAGGATGCATAAGGGGAATTTCTGACTTTGCTCTTGTCCTTCCAACATTTTATGCTCACCCCAAAGGCTTCTTTATCCCAGTTCTCCATGGAAGTCTTACCCACACAAACATGTCTTCCCTTTCACACTGACTGATTTGTTACTGTAACAATCTCTCCCTTATAGACACACATAATCTCTTTCCTCCTTCACTGCCACTTCCCTTATTTTCTTCTTGCTTGCAGCCTCATCCCAACCGCTGGCACCACCAGCTGCTTGTGCAGTGAACCAGAAGACAACATGCTACAGCCAGTGCTCAAAACTAAATTCACAATGTAAAATCAAGCCCTAGCCCTGACAAAAACACAGTTCCCCACCCAGCCTGAGAGGGTTATGAAAAAGAGGCTGAATGAAGTCAGCGGGTAGTTTCAGAGGCAAGAAGAAAGGAGCAGCCTGCCTGCTGGGATTCAAATTCAACTGCAAAGTACCATCAAAGCACAGAACAGCTCAGCAGAATTCAAGGGGACTACAAGATGTACAGAGACAGCATAAGATGTTGTTAACCCCTACTCTCACATTTATTACATGGCTGCTACTGGCTTATTTAGGACTCAGGCCAAGTCATCTAACTGTGGAATATACACATAGGACCCTGAGTTTTCTTTTCCTTAACACTAAAAATGTCAAAAACTCAAATACAAAAACATTAATTTACCAAAAATTAAGAGTTTAAAACTTTAATTTACCAAAATCTGGCTCCAGAGAGTCCATCATTTTCTCTTAGGTCACAGACCTAACAAATTACTCAATTTTGTTTGTGCTCAGGAGCAGTGACATAGGATTCTGTACCTGTAACAACCCAGGAATGATATCAGGTAGGAGCTGATGCAACGATTCCTTGGAAATCCTCTCAATGACTTTTGTCTGCATTTTGATGGCAGCCAAGTTAATTGGATAATCTGCAGTCTGAATGATGGGGCAAAGCACCTTGATGCACTGCTCAGGGTGGATGGAACTCGCCAGCGTGGAAGCAGCTTCTTCGGCAGCTCTGACGACCTGAAATGAAAGTAGAGCAAACCCTTATGTTAATGAGGTCACACTTGACAGCCAGCACCACTGGAGTGTGCTGGGAATGACTGCCAGGATATGCTTGGCGATGTTCATTAACAGATCTGCAGGAGGCTCTATCGAGCGGTGACCGACTCCGAGAATTCACATCCTTTGCCTCCAGTGACATCTTTATTCCAGCCAGTGGCAAGATGTCCATCCTGCCTAATATAACCATGTCATAAGTTGTGTCTACTTTGAAAAAATCATCTGTCACCTAAAACAGATAGGCACTCCCATCCCAAGAGAAGCAGGAGGATGACATCTCTCCAGCCACTGTCAAAGAACCTAAACCCACTAGCTTAAACTTATACAAAACTTATCTTCTTAAACACCACCCTGCATGGCACTCTTGCATCTTTTAGTATCTCACCTGTCAAGTGCTTGGGTGCCCAAGCTGAGACATCTACAGCTACACAGCGGTGTCCTGCCATTTCCCAAATAGACTGTGCTGTATTCAAAACCAGGCTACAGACACAAACAGGCTTTAGGGCGTCCCTGACCAGGCAGCTGCACTCTCAGAACATGTAAGTGGGATCACTATACAAAATGGCAGGAAGAAAGGGTGGAAACAGCAGTAGCACTCACCTTTTGCAACTAGCCCATACTGTAAAGCAGTCACACAAAGCAAGGGAGATCCTAAATTCAACTCCGTTCTTCCATCAAGGCAAGGCAAATTAACAACTTTCACTCCTCCCCAGCAGGTAGGACAGCTAGTTCAAAGAGGAAAGACCCAAATCTGGTCTCTCCTCCCATGAGAATTTATTCATTTTACATTCTGCAGTAATTGGATAAAAAAGAACAGGATGGGAAGGCAGGTTTTCTTTTTTTCAAGTGTCTGTGCTAATTGCCAGGCAACAAAATGAAGCTTTCTCCTGGTTGCACTCTTCCTGGCCACAAATAACACGCCTTTTGCTCCTCATGTTCTTGTTACAATACAAAAGATGGAGGATGCTTTCTCCCCTGTGTTCAGGGCTTACTTTTAAGGGAGGGTAAATCCTGAGTGAACAGAGATGCCCCAGTGGGCAGACTTAAATCCACACCTCAGTTTTAAGAAGAAAGAAGCATTCACAAATCCTCATGTTTAGGATCTCCCAGCTAGCCCCAGGCAGTCCCTAACCCTGAGCCCAGGAGCAGTAATACAGACTTTCAAGGCATCCCCTCTTTCCTGATTGTGTGGGATGGTCAGGTGCCCCACACTGGTTCTCTGACTCCTCCTAAACTGAGCTACCTGGGGTTGTCTGACGTCAATGTTTTGCAACCAGCACTAGCAAATCTGTCCCAGGCGAATCACAAAAATGCAAATAAATCCAGCCATCACTATCACTTAGACTGAAGCCATATCTGCTGAATTTGCCTCATTCTCCTCTTCCACACACTGTGATGGTATAAAACTCAGGGATTTCTGTTTGACTGAGGCAACTCATGGATGTACCTCTAGCAAAGCCTCAAAAGAAGACAAGCTTTCATTATTTTTAAGCAACTACTGTGGATAATGCATGAATCAGGAATATTGGGAAGTTTATCTCAGGTCTCACTAGGATAAGAATGTCTCCCTGTCTCGACTATAAAATATTTTCCTGAAAGGTTTAACTGACTTTCAAGATAGCAGCAATGAGCAGTGTGACCAGAAGAGATCATCTCCATCTACAAAGCCTGATTCACCCACAGTCTTTGTATCACAGCCACAGTACTAACAATAATCTTGCAGACGTGCTGACAGCTACCTCCCTAAAACAGGAATGGCACAAGACACTTGTATACCCAGGAAATAATAAAAGTCATCCACTTGACTTCTGGCATTCTCTAAAGCAGATCCAACAGTGAACGTGATCTCAGACACTTCATACAGCACAAATAATGCATGCAAGCAAGGTAGAGGCAGGATGGTGAAATAACATGAGATCTTGACTGCTTCTGTATCAATGCCCCATTTTCAGAAGAAAAATTGTCCAAATGCTCCATTTACTTCAGGCCTTTCTCCGCATTTAATTAGAATATTAAAACATATTCCAAAAAGAATGGCAATCCACAATGTGGTCAGTACTAAAAAAGTTTCATCCTCAAAGATCTGTGAATGAGAAACCATGCAGAACAAAAAGCGTGCTTTCCCACTTCCAGCAAGTTTTCCCTCTTCCAGCTATTTCTTTGCTAATTCCTCTTCAATTTCACATGTAAGAAGAATGAAAGTTAGTAATTTTTCCACATAAGTTAGTACTAGCTTAGGAGCAAGCACTATGTGATTTTATTGGCAAAGGAGAGAAACAACCCAGTACTTAAGGGAAACCTAACACCAAGCTTTTGATACCACAGAGTTGAACTGCTGGAGTGGATGAAGTCAGGAGCTCCCAGAAGGTCTCCTTTAAAGGAATCCACTTCCTGGCACTGCAGCTTCTGATGTCTGCTTTCCACAAACAATGCAGTGGACTTACAGAGAGCTCTGGTATCTTGCAATCAATTTAATTACATTCACTAACAAGCCACTGGCTAAAAAGCCCCAACTACAAATATTTGGACACAAGCACTTGGGATTTTGTTTTGCAACAATGCCAAATACTGTTGGTAAATGTTTTCAAACACCCTCAGAAAGAAAAGCTTGCACATATACCACAACACACTAAGAAAAAATTAACACCCCCCCCAAATCTTATATCCTCTTGGTTAGAAAGCAACAATACTTTAGTATGCACTCATGGTCAGACTCTGACCTAAAATACACTACTGTAAAAAAAAGTAGGTAAAAATTTCACTGAGTATTCTGTCTGGGTTTCAAGTCCATATCCTGTTTGCATACAGTTTACCATGCATATTAAGTTGAAGGTATGAGGCAAGTGCATGAGACAAAATCTTTTCTTAAAAAGCCTATTAACCAATTCCAAGCACAAGGGACATTAAAATACAGTTGTAATTTTTCACAAAATAAGAAATGGTTCCATAGCAATAAAGATCACACATATTTTGCATATCATAAGGCGAGCAAGGAAAGTTGTGAAGATGCAAGAATTATTTATGCTCCTGCCTGTCCTCCTTCCAGCATAGCCGCCCACTTCTAGCAAGGATCTGGCCACATTTACACAGTGGTTTGGTATTTCACATCCCTTCTCCCTGCAGTGCCTTCCCCCTGAACACAGAAGGATGTATTACACATGTCCAGTATGCTTCCTGCTGACATTAGCCTGTAAATGTGACAACACCAGGGAGACTTCCAAGCCTTCCATGAGCACATCTGGCAGACAGTGCCTGCATCTCAGCCACACTTCAGCAAACCCCTGAGCATATGATTAATAACATGCTGAAGTCTCACTGACATCAACAGGATTCAAAAGCATGTGCTGACATGCTTGCTTGAATCAGCCTCCATCGGTAACTAGTTCCTGGTTCCTTTGGGAAGGATGGGCAGGCGACAGGGTGTAGGAAAGGGTAGGACATCAGTGGAAAGTGAGCCAAAAAGACAAATTCATCCCTGCTGGCACAGAAGGCCAAATGCCACTGTTCTGAAACACAAGCACCAGCCCTGTCTTTCCTTCTGGCTTTAGCAAAACATTCAGCCATTCAGATGGACTCTGCATCCCATGAGGGGAAGCATGTCCCTGAGTATTCACCCAACCTGCTCTGAATCCTGCTCACCTCATAATGCCAGAGAAATCAGCAGCATTCCCACACACAGGACAGCGCATTATCAAAAGATACCAACTGTCAGGTCATTTGGCAACAAAAACATGCAATTATAGTAAAGTTTAGCAAAGATATTTTGCCATGAGGCACAACACTTGTGACTTGCAAGTTGTACATACCATACAATATCAAAAAAATCAAATATCTTTTTTAATCAGGGGTTTAACCTGATTAGCAGAGTGAAACAACCTTAAAAGGAGTGGGAGAAATTAAAAAACAGCACCAAGCAACAGGTCTTCCTCCCATCTTTGAAGGCAAGACCCACACATACACATCTGGAAGTGACAGGAATGACTCACACTAGCAGTAACACCACAGTAAGCAGCAGCTATGAAATCCAAGAAAATGAAAGGGTGCTGTCTGCTACATACTCAGACGGGGGAGCTCACTGTCACAACAGGATTAAAAGTACGACAAGTTTACAAAAGGACTAAAAAGGCCACCACACACAGAGAGTCAGGCAGAACCATTCACATGGGAAGGCTTTAAGCTTCAGACAGCTGGAAGGAGGAAGAATATCCACAGGGAAGCATCACTGTATGCTTTCTTCTTGACAGTCAGTCAGGTAAGGTATCAAGTGAAGCAAGCTTTTTGTCTGACCTAATATAATTATTCTCAGGGATCTCAGAGATACAAAAGAAAACTAGCAAAGACATGAAACGATGATGGCAGTTGGAAGCAGCAGGTTCAAAAGGGTGGCTATGAAGCAAGACGTGAAAGACTAGAGAGAGTCCTGCAGTGCTTTAAAAACACAGACACTAAGCTGTGTGTAAGGTATGTCACAAACATGATTTTACCTCCCAGTAAAAACTTTGAGCAAACCATGGCTTGAACTGGTTAGTTTGACATCGCTCAACACAGGGCAGGCAGCCCAAGAATGCAGATCTAGGAGATAGCTCTTGGCCTTAAAGCAGCAGGCTTTTCTCCTTTCCAAACCCTTACCTTATGCTCTACACACTGGAGACTAGATTCAGCCTGACTTCTGCTGGCATAACCTAAGCTGTGTTTGCTGGTGGGTTCCTTGAAAGACATCTGTGGTGCATTAAGACCTTTCTAGTGAGTTGCACAAAAGAGAGAAATTTTTATACTTCCACCCAGTTTGCTTTAGGGAAGGAACCATATTCACACGCACAAAGCCAGAGAGGTGTAGCACACAGACAGTTCACCTCTAGCAATGTCTTCCTTAATGTTATCAAGGTGTGAGCTTCAAAGTAACAGGTTAGGCGGTCCCAGGAATATGCACAATGAAAAGCTGGGAGGGGATATGCTGACAT